CCATGATGATATATCCTCAAACTTTCTATCTTCCAATATTGAGCCTCAAAAACTAAGGTTAAAATTAACAAAGCTTAAAGTGCAACTGCACTTGTTACATCTTTACCCACTTTGGTTGTGCTCAGGATAAATATAGCCATTGTTATTAAGCTATAGAATGCTATTTTATGACAACAGTGAAGACACTTAAAAACTGACTGTAGCTATAGCAACAGCAAGGATTCTTTAAAATCCTGGCTATTCCCAGAACATAATTTTCAATTTTATAATTTGTTAACCTTTAAAACATTACAATTCATGCTTGATTATTAACAATGGGGTATAACTACTAGTTGTGCCAGGATTTATGTCTTGCTATATTTTTTAGGTCCTAAATATTGCTGTATACTAATCCTGACTTCCCTGACTCTTAATTTGGCAATATCTAGATAGCTGCTGGTTTCCCATTCTCTTAGCCATTCTTCAGTGTGTGTCTTTAAACCAAATTTTAAAGAACTGGAATTTTGTCTGAGTTGCAATTTTCAAGCATTTCATCTATCCTAAACCCCAAAAGGCTATTGTTCAACATTATTACCACTTATAATATGCTGGTTTCATAATGTCCAAATGGAAGAAGTGCACTTTTTTTTTTTGCAATGCAGTACTGATGGTCACAAATATGTCTTTTTTAGTTAATATTTGCTCCTAAATATCACCATTAAATCTAGCTATCATTCTAGCCATAGCCAATAGTGTTCATTAAACCCAGTTGTTTAAAGTTGTTTATAATAAAGATGTCAGTCAAAAAACACACATAGCATCTATTTAGATCATGATAAAATATTGAGTTGTGAAGGAATGTCTCCACTCCACTCTTAGACATTTGAAAGAAGTCCCAAGTATATGACGAATGTTATATCTATATAGAATATTTATGTAACAAGCTAGTGTAGCAGTATGGCTGAATCCATAGGGTGAGGGATTGGAGGCCTCAAACCCCAGACAATCTCTGGGTCTAGATGTCCTAATTCTACATCCTGCTTGGTGGGTATCTTTTTCTCATGTCCTCCCCACTAATCCTAATGTATGAGTTAGTGATCATACAGCCTATACTCTGATTGGAAAATAACAGAAAAATATAGTAGATAAAAAAGAGAAATTCCACAGTATACTATCTTCAGCCTGTAATGTTGAAGCTGAGCTGAATGAATGCATATTGCTGTATTGGAGATTGGCTGGCAACAAAGGTGCAGAATTGATTCTTAATATTATATTCAGTAAGACCCATTCAGTAGGAATATTGCCTGTATTTTAAAATTTTTCAATTCCCTATTCCACATTCTATAACTTAATCTTTGCCCTTTAATATCAAACTAAATTGCACGTTGTTTTCACTGAAAGCAACATGAAAAGTCATTAACACATTAGTACTTTCTGTACCTAAGTAGCAATACCGCTCTGGGGGGCTTAAACTTTTTCAGGGTGCAGAACCTGCTAACTCAAAAATAAGTAAATCCTGGAACCACTAATCAAAAAGCAAACTTCCCTGTTTCCCTGAAGATAAGACCTACCCCCAAAATAAGACCTAGCTTGATTTTTGGGGTGGGCCTAATATAAGCCCTATCCTCAAAATAAGCCCTACTTAAGACCCCATCCACTCCGTCCCACAATAGGTTTCTTGGCAGGCCGGATCGCGTGCCTCCCCACCCCACTGCCTTGCCTGCTGCCGGTGCCGCCACTGTGAGATGGCCTGAACGTTAAGACAGCCAGGGCCTGAGGCAAGCAGAGGCTGCATCTTTTCTATCCCTGCCCTGGATTGGGGAATCCAGCGGACAGCTGGGCGTGGGGACTGGCCGGGGCCTCAACCATCAGCTTCTTTCTCACCCTCACCCCAAAGTGCCTCCGGAGGTGGCCTGCACTGCCCCGCGGGCTTTGCTGACCTTCTCTTCCTCTGCGGAAGGGCAGGAAAGAAAGCTGGGCGTCCCGAGATGTCCCACTCTGGAAAGCGACTCAGGTTTCTGTTGGTGGGGGAGGAAGGCTTAGGAAACTGCCTTTTCATTTACTTTCATCATTAATATTGTGCAGGGCTTTTTTTCTCATAGAACACCCAGAACAGAGTTCTGGCACCTTTTTTGGATGGAACCTTATAGGGTAGGCATGTTGTATGACATGTATGAGTTCTGGCACTTTTTTTTTTTTTTTTTAGAAAAAAAGCACTGAATATTGTAATTCATCCCTGCAGCTCCTGGAACCTCCGAGCACTGTTTTTGGTGCTGCTCGGTTTTCACTCTACCTCACCCCCACCAGGCTGATCTGGTGGCAGGGATTGCCTTCCACCTTCCCCGCCGCTGCATTGGCAGCTGATGCTGCCCTCCCGAGGCAGTGCGGCGATTGGACGGCAGCCATGCTACAAATGGGGATAGACCATCCCCCAAACCTCAGCCATCCTCTCCATGGCGCGCTGCAGCTGATCCAAAGCACTGCTGAAAACAGCAAGGCAGACACACACACAGATGCGGCACCAAAAACAACACTCGGAGCCTCCAAGAGCTGCAGTTATCCGGATGCACCCTTTGCAGTCGTCCTCCTGCAATGCACAGGCTTCCCCTGTAAGCAATCCGGCTCGCCCAGGGTCAGGTTGGCTGTCACGGAAGCTCGTCCCGCATGTGTGGTGGAACTGGAGGATGGGGCTGGGCCACGCCTCCCGTGACGGCTAACCTGACCCTGGGCAAGTTGGATTGCTTCAGCTGTGAGGAGCCTGGCCTAAGATTTCCATCACCCAGGCTTCCTTAAGCGGATGGGAACTGCGGCCTGCCGCAGCTGAAGAGTTTAGCTGAGCCACAAAATAGAATGGACCTGCAAAGCAGTGGTGCGCTCCAAGCAAGGAAGCTGCGTGAGTTTTGAGGGTGCGAGTGTATTTCCACGGCTCATGCGCAGAATTCACACCGCGCCTTCCCATTGGTGTTCAAGGATGCTAATAATGGTAAATACAAATCATTTTTTTGAAAAATAAGGAGACGGATTACAATATTGATGACGAATGTAAATGAAAAGGCAGTTTCCAAAGCCTTCCTCCCCCACCGAGGGAAACCTGAGTCACCTGTGGGGCAGGGTGCCGGCCGGGCTGGGCCTTGTGGTGAAAAAATAAGACATCCCCCGAAAATAAGCCCTAATGAGTCTTTTTGACCAAAAATAAATTTAAGACCCGGGCTTTTCAGGGAAACACAGTTGTATTCAAGTGAATTCCCACCCACCACCTTTAATCTCTTATGGAAACCCTATCAAGTTTTTATAGAATACTGTTTGGAAAACCCTGATCTACTTCAGCCTTAGCTGATTACTTGTGGGGTTACTTCTGGTAGACCTTGAAAGGGAGATTACCAAGATTGGTTGGATTGATTGGGAAAATAATTTAAAACAGTGGTTCTCAACATTTGTGTGACGGTGACCCCCGTCACACAAACGTTCTGCGCATGCACGGCGCCCCCCATGCACGGCACGCATGCGTGGCGCCCCTGTGCACGGCACGCATGCGCGGCGCCCCCATGCGTGGCAAGCATGCGCGGCGCCGCCCCTATAGGGGAGAAAATGGCGGATCGCCTTCTTTGGCGACCCTCGAAAAATGGTCGATCGACCCCAAATGGGGTCGCGACCCAAAGGTTGAGAACCGCTGATCTAAAAGAAAGCAGGGACAAATAATGTCTATATCAGTAGTTCTCAACCTTTTTAATGCCGCGACCCCCAACCAGTCGTAAGTCAAGGACTACTCAACCGGCCGTAAGTCGAGGACTACTCAACTGGTGCAGCACCGTTTGCAGAATGGGACTTTTGGCGGGCTCAGCAGGGCAGAGACAGCCTGGACAATTCCTATTGGCTTTTGAAAGCCAATAGAATTAGACTCTATTCAAGAGAGTCTATTCTATTGGCTTTCAAAAGCCAATAGAATAAAAGGGAGTAGCACAACTAAGGAAAAGGGGGAAAAATGGCGGACTGCGTTGTTTGGCGACCCCCATGAAATGGTCGTTCGACCCCAAATGGGGTCCCGACCCACAGGTTGAGAACCACTGGTCTATATTGTTGCCAAGACAATTAAATGGATGAGTTGATGAAGTCATCAGGAACCGAGCTTGATTCAAATGAGTATTTGGGATTGGGTGATATTATCTGTGGCTATGGTGAGAATTGATAATTTTGAGCATGATTACCTGCTCATTAAAATACAATGAACATAGGACCCACCTAATACCTCTATTCTGCTGGGTAAGAGACTTTACCTTTAGTCCAGGGGTGTCAAACTGGCGCGGCCCACAGGCCAAATGCATCACACACAGGCCACACCCACCCTGGCTCCGCAAAGGTAAAAAAACCATTGTGATACATCACGATACATCACGTGATGCGATCAAGTTTGACACCCATGCTTTAGTCAATGGTGCAGGTTAGGGCTTCTGAGCTGACAGACTTTTAAACATTAATGAACAGAACATGCAAACACAGCCATTAGAGGGCAAGGGCAATGTGAGCCTGCAATTTGACTATCTAAAGATGGTCTCCTTGCAAGATAATTTTACACCCAAGTTTACTTTTCTTGTTAATACCACATGGATTTAGTAGTCATGGGGAAGCAAGTGTCTGGTTGTCAGCAGGCTGGCTCAACAGAGTAAACCAGAAATAAGCAAAGCAGAGAGAATGGTCTGATCTTTTTGAAACTTTTTAAAACTCACCATCCACATTTCTACCTTAAAACATTTGATGGGGTAAAGATGGTATTGAGCCATCTTTTTCTGTACCATTTTTTTTTGTTTTTCTGTTAAAATGTTTTAATCCTGCCATCAATGTTTAAGTGTTATTCCACTGTATGCATTGTAAACCATTGAGAATCATCACCCTACGATGGGGGCATAAGTTTGATAAATGATAAGTAAATAATAAGAATCATTGCTGTAATGAGTGATGTGCTATGAAAATATCTTTTTCTTCTAATGCAGGAAAAACATCCCTCCTCCTGGACTGAGGCTGGATTGTGTTCTGCTCTGGTTTATTGAAACACCAAAAAAAGGTCTCCATCTCCCTTTCACAGGAGAGACAGAGAGAGAACAAACTTGTTAATTCCACTTATTATCCAGTCAAGGGGCTCTCCTGCTTCTTCTTAGGCTTCAGGAACCTTCACTCAGAACAGGCTGAAGAGAGGATCAGTGACTGCCATGTAGTCTATAAACCTACAGCCAAAAAACAAATGGAATTGTTAATTCCCCTTTCCTGTTCTTAATCTAGAATCATTAAAGTGCAGTTTCATAGAACAAAATATAACAGTGAAAAGATAATTTGTTCTGCAGAACATCTCTGTACTTGTATTTTTTTAAACTTAACACTGAGCAATGAAAATCATATTTGGGCTAATAAAAAGAAAAGCAGTACCCCGCAAGTCAATTCCATCCAAAGGGGACAAGTGATTTCATAGGCAGGGCAGATGCCGCAGCATCCTGTAGTCCAGTGTTTCCCAACACTGCTGTAGTGGGTCATAAGGATGAAGGACCACAAACAGAGGTAGGTGCCGGAGCACCCATAACTTCAAAAAGGGGTCATAAGTAGGTTCTGGGAGGAGGATCTGTCATAACTTCAAATGATAACTAAGCAAGGACTACCTGTACACAATTACAGAACAAACTTAAATTGTAGGCTAGAATAACTACATCAACTACATGAGACTGTCCCAAAATTAAAGGGCTTCCTATCTTTTGCAGGAAAGCTGAGAGAATAACGTTGCTTTCATTCTTTTAAAAGGAAACTAGATTTCTTGCCTCTTAACTGCAAAGCTAGAACTCTCACAAAAGCCACATTGCTTATATACATACTTAAAACTAGTTTAAAAGATTTATATGAGTATTTGTACTTTGGTAAACAAAGAGCAATCCTGATTTAAATGTACTATATTTTGCTGTTGCTGAAGGCTAATGTTGGATGATAGAACACCTTGGCTCCTGATTCCTTAAAACTACATTCACAAACCTAAGCCACCAACCTCACCGCACTCAGTCCAGCTAAGGAGGAAGCGCTTCCCCGCAGGCGCGGTACCTCTTTACGGGCTCCTGGGTGTCAAGTGATCCCCTAACCCTCGCCGCTGCCCCAACTCAGATTGCTCCGACGTGCTGAGCCGCTGGGGTCGGATCCGGGCGAAGAGTGTTTTTAAAGCCCGGTGCCAGCAGTTGTTCGTTCATTTGCTACGGTAAGACATACTGATCCGTATTCCGCTTCTCCGGAGTAGATATTTACCCCCTTAAGATACCTTGCATGGACAGCTGATGAGACGGGAGTCATGAGGTCTCAGAAACAATGCCCCCCCTCCATTTTGGCAGTGCCTCTATCTCACCGTAGCATGATGAAAAGTGCACGTGTATGTCTACGTACACACGCACGAGAATATCGTGATGGGAAACCACAGATTTGCAAGCTATTCGGCGTGCCTTATGCCCCCTGGCGGTCCTTCCGCGCAGGTGCACTCTGACCGTTTTTTGACGGTCCGGTTTAACAAAACAGAACGGTTGCTGGTTTGGGCTGCTTAGGAGAAGGAGTATGAATTTCTTGGTTGTGAGAAGAATCGGGCATAATTATAGGGGTTGGGAATAGCTGATCTGACATGCTTCTTTTTTTCCCCCAATCTCCCTCCCTTGAACTCAGACATACAGCCCCTGGCTACAATCCAGGAAAACTGCTGTCCTGTATACATTTTCACACACAATATGCTGAGATAGATATAATGAATTGATTGTACGATACAGTATATTAAGCTAAATTTGGTCAATTTTAACTTTTGCTAGGGTTTGGTGGGGTTTTTTTTGGTCACTTGTCATGTTGTACAAACCCAGACTTTTTCATTAGTTTATGGTTAAATGTCTTATCTAAACCTGGAAAATGGGTTAGTTAAGTAGATTATGTGAATGTAGGTTTAAGGAATCAGGAGCCAAGGTGTTCTATCATCCAACATTAGCCTTAAGCAATAGCAAAATATAGTACATTTAAATCAGGATTGCTCTTTGTTTACCAAAGTACAAATACTCATATAAATCTTTTAAACTAGTTTTAAGTATGTATATAAGTAATGTGGCTTTTGTGAGAGTTCTAGTTTTGCAGTTAAGAGGCAAGAAATCTAGTTTCCTTTTAAAAGAATGAAAGCAACGTTATTCTCTCAGCTTTCCTGCAAAAGATAGGAAGCCCTTTAATTTTGGGACAGTCTCATGTAGTTGATGTAGTTATTCTAGCCTACAATTTAAGTTTGTTCTGTAATTGTGTACAGGTAGTCCTTGCTTAGTTATCATTTGAAGTTATGACAGATCCTCCTCCCAGAACCTATTTATGACTCCTTTTTGAAGTTACGGGTGCTCCGGCACCTACCTCTGTTTGTGGTCCTTCATCCTTATTACACTATGGTCCTTCATCCTTATGACCGACTACAAGGATGCTGCAGCATCTGCCCTGCCTACCTTCCTCCCACTATTGTGCCCTGCTAGGTCCCTGCAGAACTTGGGCCTGTTTTCTTTCCTCACTGAGTCCACTCAGGTCTTGGACCTTCTCCCCAGTTTCCGTCACCCATCACGCACTTACCTTCTGAAGATCTCTGGACCTCACATTGGGGAAGGAAGGCAGGCCACTCCGTCCCTGAACGTCACTGGACCGTGTTTTAAAAGTAAGTGCACGAAAAGTGACAGTGGGTGGGGAGGAAGACATGGGGCCCAGCAGAAAGGGAAACACGACGAAGGCCTATAGGGACCGAGTGGTAATGGGGAAAGTCCTGTGGGGATCTGGAGGAGTGGGATACTAGGGCTGTAATGACCCCAAGGGATAGAAGTGGAGCATGGAATGTCTCTCGGAATGGGGCAGGCAGTCCTGCTCCTGCACTAGGCCTCCCAGGGCCTCCCCCTCTCCTGTGGCACTCTGCTTAATGACCACATAAGGGAGAGTAGGGAGTGGGGATCATCTAGTGAGGTGAACTTGCTTAACAACATCACAACAGGTGACCATAATGAGCAGGCTCCATTAATCCTAGGTCAAGGAATACCTGTATCTTTTGAGAACAAATGTTTATGGTATCTTTAAAGCAGGGGTCTCCAACCTGTGGGCTGCAGTCCAGTATCGGGGCCTGTTGGCCACCGGGCCGCAGGAATGGTTGGTGAGTGCGCACACTGCCACCAGCATCATGCGGGCGCTCGTGGCCCATTTGCACATGTGTGCAGGCGCTAGTGCCACCACGTGTGCACCTGCTTGTGCAGGTGCGCACGCACACATTTCCCTGCTCCTTCCTTTCCCTCCAGGCCGCCAACCCGGAATGGTTGGGGAGCTCTCTTCTAAAGCACAAGCTCACAGATAAACTGGTCACAATTCCTCTTTTTCCCATTTTTAACTGGTGGACAGTATGATGGGGATGAGAGAAACATATTTACTCAGAGGGCTATTAGCCTAAGAAAAGCATTTCATGGATATGCAGTCAATGAATTGCCTACTATATATAAGACTTCTTGCTGCAGCACAAGAAGCAGTTAGTCCCAAAGATGCTTTTTCAAAAGGCAGGTGGACTTTCTTGGTTTTTTCCTTGAAAACCAAAATAAACCAAGAAAGCACCTTTGGGACAATTATGACCTAGTCCTAGATATTGAAAATCTCCGTGGATAAGAAGCATTTAATTACTGCTGCATATGTGACAGGATAAGCAGCAGTCTGAATCTGGTCTCTTCTCAGTACATATCTCTTAATTTGAGCATCTCGGTCAAACTAAAAGCAAATCTGAAATTGCTACTTCAGTGCAGAGTTATTGTCCTTTTAATTACACATACTTGTTAATTTCACTTTGCCACTACATTACCAGTTTGGCACAACTTACTCTGTCTGAATTGTTATTTTTTACCCAAATAGAAACGATATGTTTTTTTGCGTTTCTTACATATTTGGTCTTTTACCCTACCTTTGTCGATAATTCACTCTTGAAACATAACCATAGTACTGAAAATGGACCTTCGTGCTTCTGATAAAAATAGATTTTTTTACCACCAGATATATTATTTGTTTTAAAAAAAAAACTGCACAACACACATAAATGACACCCCCCACCCCCCAAGTCTGGAGGTGAGAATGTTTCTAGTCTTTGTGCAACTATTTAATTGGGGGGGGGGAACCTAGTTTTTCTTCCTAGTGAATTAAAACAAGATGCATGGCTCAATATATTCAAGTTATCTCTTTCCTGTCTGCTCACTAATGAACTTAAGCTTACCAGTACTGTGGCCTTGACTCTTAACTAGATTTCTCTAAAAAATGTGAAAAGCAACCTTAAATCCCATATTATACTGAAACAGTTTCAGATGAAGGGAAGGAAGTTAGATGGATGCCCATTTTAGACTAGAGTCCCAGGGGTTCTCAACCTTGGCAACTTTAAGACTTGTGGACCTCAACTCCCAGAATTCCTCAGCCAGCAAAGCTGGCTGAGGAATTCTGAGAGTTGAAGTCCACAAGTCTTAAAAGTTGCCATGGTTGAGAACCCCTGCACTAGACGGAAGAACTAATTGTTTGCTGTTCACTGGATGCTTACTTGGTCATGGGACTCCGCATCAGTGGGTACCTTGGCACCTTTATCCAAGGTAATGTATCTTCTGGCTTGATTGATGAATTCTTGGGCTGCCACCAACCAATATCTTGTCCACAAGTCAGTGGTACCCTGTATTCTTGATTGGGGTCTACAAAAGAGATTAAGCCTTCTGATTGCTTAGAAAAGGGCTAAACACTGTAGGCAAGGCAAGGTAGGATCTCTAAACAAAACCCCCTTTGACCAAGCATGGCTTTATTATTTGAAGCGACCTTCTCCCTCCTGCTGTTTCTTATCTAACTGCTTTATTCCCTGGAAATCCAGGGCTGTTCTTTCCTGTATTTTGCCAGACTAGCTAGACCTAGTATGGCATCATTAATACTTTTAGTATTAATGGTGACGGTTTCATTTTTTTTCAAATAGTTGGCTAAAAATTAGTATTCAACCTGGTATCTATGGGGAGCTTTAAAAGATGAGAGCACCTGGTTGACCTTTTCTGGTTTGGAAGCTAAGAATAGTCAGGTTTGGTTAGTATTTGGATAAGAAACTACCAGAAAATAGGGGTAATATGGAGGAAAACGGGGGTAAACAATTTTCATTTCTCTGCTATGAATACATCATGAAGTCACCAGGAATTGAGCTCAGCTCAAAGAAGACTTATTTATAGGCTATTGCAGCTGATTGCTAAATTAATTATTTAATGATCAATTAACTGGAAGTGAATGTCAATGTGAAGGTTTTTGCCTCTTTCCCACACTGCACAAATAGCTGGCAGTGAGTTTTGGGACTTGCTCTCCTCATCCACTACAGGAAACCCAGGGACCATCTGGTTTTCTTCTGGTTCAGTCCACATTGTCTCCTAGCATGCTCTTGAACTATGTTGTCTCTGTCCACGCTGTTGCTCTTAACCCCCAAGACTTGAAGTATATTGTAAATTGTGAGTACGGTTACCCCTCTGCAGTGTATTCCCTGGGGGAACACGGAACCAGCAACCTTACAGATATTATGGGGTTCTTGCACCCATGGCCAATAAGCTGCACGATCACAAATGATGCCAGTTGTGATTAAACTTCTGAGGAATCATAGGTTCCTCTGTTCCTGCTGTGAGCATTTCTGCATTTACTAAAACTTTGATTTAAACCTGACTCTTGGTGCTTCTTCACCTACATTTCTTGAGCCTCTTCTGTTTGATAGCCTCTTGATATTTCTGATGGCTACCCTGGTGTTCAGTGTCGTCATTGTACCCAAATTGTCCTATAGGTGGGAGCTTTGGGTAGAAAAGTTCCAATTTCGGAGGGATTGTTCCCACTGGAGATGGACAGAAAAAAATGTCACTCCATAAGAAAGCAATTCCCAGACAAGATTCAGAGCAAGTTACACAATTTTTTTTTTACTATTCATAACCGTATTTTCCCCAAAATAAGACCCACCCTGAAAATAAGCCCTAGCCTGATTTTGGGGGGTGGGTCTAATATAAGTGCTACCCCAAAGATAAGCCTGGGGGATCGGCATGGCCAGCACAAGAGGCAGTGAGCACGTGGGGACCAATGGTGTCCGGCAGCAGTCGCAACCTGACAGCCCCTTGGCGCAGTGTAGCTATAGTTACTAGCAATAGCAACATATTCATAATTAAAAACTGAAATCTGTGTTGAAGAATAAAACTCATCCACTTTCTCGTTCACTAAAATATTTCAGTGCACAGATGTATGTATAAATGTGTGTGTATGTGTGTGTACATATGTAGTATTAAATAGTAGAATTTGAGAATTGTTATTTCTTGCAGCCTAGGAACAACAATTTTACCAATATAATTTGATTAATATTTTCTCTGTTGAAATCTCGCCTTTTAAAACATGTCATGGACATACAAATTATTGAATACTCAGTACTTATGCTCCAAATTTAAAGTTTATGTTGATGAGTACCTCATTTTAACAACATGGATTCCCTAGAAAGATGAATAGCACCAACTGTGATTACTCCCAGAACTGTGGTTCTGGGAATTAATGATACATTGTCTGATCTGAATACAGTAATTTTGTAAACAATGGTTACATTGCTTTAAATTTTTGAAGGGTGCACAGGTATGCATGCAGAATAACTGTTCTTAATAAATCCTAAGAAAGAAAAAGACAAACTTTCTAACTTTATTTAGATAATGTCCTTACCTGGCACTTCATATTTTGGTAATGATAGTTTTTTATCACGAAAGGGATCCTGAGGACCTAGAAAAGTTAATCCAAAGAAAGCCATTACCTGAGCTTTGTTTTAGTACTTAGGTTCAACTGTATCCAACTACAGTATTCTATTTCCTGGCATCTGAAGCATGTTTGCTTTGTTACCATGGTGATATACTGCTGAACTTAGTACATTACCTAAGTAAGCAGTTCGTGATGCCTTAAGGCAGGGGTTCTCAACCTTGGCAACTTTAAGACTTGTGGACTTCAACTCCCAGAATTCCTCAGCCAGCAAAGCTGGCTGAGAAATTCTGAGAATTGAAGTCCACAAGTTTTAAAGTTGCCAAGGTTGAGAACCCCTGCTAAGGCAATATAATCTGATATAACTTAAGAAATTATGTATTTTGGAACTCCATTCCCCATTGTTGTGTCATCAACTTGCACTTATTTGCATACAACATCAAAGGATGAACAAAAATACTCCCAGCTGATTTAAGGTTGATCATATTTCTTTTGCTTGCCAATTGGCAACACCTAGCCAGCCTTGGCTGATCTCAGAAAAGTGAAGCAAGGTTGGGCCTGGTCAGTCACCGGAAGAAAGGTTACCAGGAAATTCTAACTCTGCAGGCAAGACTAAGCATCTTGGAAAAAGACAGTAGCAACTAGTTTCATAATGTTTCATGTTCTGTCTTGAGGGAATCTTTATTTGACTGTATTAAATATCCAGTAACCTGAAAGCTGAATCCAATCAGCTTGTGCAGGAGTCTCTGGAGCAAGTCAATGCTACCAAATGCTAAAATCTAATCAAAGTTTGCCTAAAGCAGCTCAAATCGAGGACTCTGCTGTATGCAGGCATCTTCTGATTCTATCACAGCAACAATGGCTGCCAAATCTCATCGGAAATCAGGGTCTTTATGTCCATTGAGTTTTAAAATTCTTTTTAAGAGCCCAAAGGTTACAAAACTAGTCAGTGAGCTCATCCAGAAAATGTTATGGGGTAGATATTGAGCAAAGCATAGGGAATAGGGAAATTGGAGACAGAAAATAAAAACTGGCTGAATATTATAACCACGAAGATTAGTTTTTTTCCCTCTTTTCTCTCATACTTCCAGGAGCCAAATCAATAGCCGTCAACGGTGAAGAAAAGACTGATCGCCTATCAACGAACTGGGCAAGCCCAAACCGGAAGCTCGGTATGCAGACTCCACCCCCTGCTGGGTGCTGGGAAGGAAGTGCGCGCGCGTCGGCGGATTTAGACGCGATCACGTGAATACTGGCCGGTATGTGCGTGCCTCCTCCAGCGCATGCGCTGTTGTCGACGGCGACGACGGCCATCATGGCGGTGTCTAGCGCGGCGGCTGCTGGGGGTGGAAGACGCTGGTATTTCACCCGTGAGCAGCTCGCTCGGAGTCCTTCCTGGCGCTTAGGACTCGACCCGGACAAGGAGTTATCGTACCGGCAGCAGGCAGCTAACCTGCTTCAGGATATGGGCCAGCGCCTCAATGTGTATCCCTTCGGCAACTAGGCCGCGCCTCAGTAGGGATTGGGCTGGGTAGGGTTACGGAAAGAGGACTAGGCCCGCCGGAGATTCTCGTAAACAACTTGGGTGCCTGTTTAAGCTTACCGGGAACGGAGGGAATCGAAGTATTAAAAGAGACAGGGATCGCGGTCGTCGCACTGTAGGCAGGGAAATGCTTATATGGCCGGAGCGCCTTAGGCCATGTTTCCGAAGGAGCTTGACTTGGAACTGCTAAACAGATAGGTTTGCTCGGTGGTTGTGGAATGTTAAACGCACATGTTGTGCAGGCTGCTGGGATGCTGTTACGATTTAGGTTGAAGGATGGGCCCTGAAGTGGTCCTCAACTGATTTGCAAAAGCACAAGAGACCGGTTAATAACACGTTACTAACAGGCATTTATCTGCGCGTTGCATTATTTAGATATGTAATTTTGAAATTTGATGTTTTGAGGTGGGAGAAAAAGTCAACCATCCTTCCCCCGTGTGTTTGATTTGAACGCTAATATTAATTTACTTTTGAGCCTCATTTTCCCACCAGCCTATTGGTATTTAACAGTTTGGCTGAATAAATTTTGAAGTCTGTAATAGAAAGCTTAGTTCAACTTTTTAAAGACACAATTTAGCAAGCTTAATGTGAAAATATTTGCAGTGTTTATATTTATATATTTATATAATATTGCAACACTGGCTAAAATATTTAGGGTCTTAGGTCTTAAGTCAGAGTCTCTAATTGTGTAAATCCATGTATACTTTTACTCAAAAATCAGTTCTATTCTTGGTTTAGTTTAAGAAAGTCAACTTTTATAATACTTAGCTTTCACCTTTCCTTAAGAAGAATCGTGCACTATTAAATTTTAACATCTTCCTTAATGATGAACCATAGTTCTCAACTGACTATTAATACTGCAATTGTTTATATGCATCGATTCTACATGGTTCAGTCCTTTACCCACTTTCATCGAAATGTAAGTATGTTAACAGTTTGTGTTTCTCGGCTGGAGTACTGAATGGATTTATTGTGTGTGTGTGTGTATGTGCATAATATGGAGGCAGTAGAACTTTAATAGTTGAAAAAAATATTCTGTGAAGTCTTCAGAAATGGGTTCCATCAAATTTATGCTTAGATCTACATGCTTTCAAGCGATAATGAAGTTCTTTATTTAAAAAAAAAATTAAGAGGTTTTCAAGGAAGCAATTATAAACAATGGTACTTTAGAATATAACAATAACAATGGGCAAACAATGTGTGACAAACTTTCAGGCATTACTGATAAAATACTAGACCACTGACACTTTAATTGGATGCCTGACAAGGAAATTTACTTTCTGAGGGAAACATCTTAAATTCTCAACATTGCAACTGAGAATGATTGGTTTATGGTTTCCCATAAACAGTTTGTAATAAACCTGCATATTCTGACTTAGGTCTTTTAGCTGGATTTGTGCAGATGTTGTTACTAAGAATTATTTTATAAGATTTTATTTTCTTTAAGATTATATTTTGTGATTCTCATTCAGTAATTAACATATGCTCACAAAATTATACTCACAGTGCATTTTTATAACTTGTCCTAATAACTTACTCTCTAAGGAGAAAAAAAAAAGTTTGCAAACCAAAAAGGTGCTAATTTAAATTCAAAGTGATGAAACATTCCTAATTCAGCTGTTTGCAAACAGTTTTTCCCCCTTGGTTCTAACATGTATGTTTCTTTTCCTTTGCACATTTGAGAGTAGTGTGATTGGCTATTTGAAAGA